CATGTTGACCAGGATGGTCTCGATCTCTTGACCTCGTGATCCACCCGCCTCGGCCTCCCAAAGTGCTGGGATTACAGGCTTGAGCCACCCTGCCCGGCGCATTTGTCAATTTAGTAGAAATAGCTTCAGTACTGAAACTGAGCTGCACTTTGAGTGGTCTGTAAGACAGAAAAAAAGCAGTTTAGGCTCACAAAGGTAGGGACTCTAATCACAGGCACTTTAAGCTAGGACCATGAGGTTCAATCTCAAATGTGAATTGGACGCAAATAAAACAAAAATTCTTGCCAGACTTTTTTTTTTTTTTTTTTGGAGACAGGGTCTTACTCTGTTGTCCAGGCTGGAGTGCGGTGGCAAGGTCATGGATCATTGTAGTCTTGATCACATGGGACTCAAGACAGCCTCTTGCCTCAGGCTTCTGAGTAGCTGGGATGACAGGCACACAACATACTCTGCTGATTTTTTTTTCTTTTCTTTTCTTTTTTTTTTACTTTTTGTAGAGACACAGTTTCTGTATGTTGCCCAGGCTGGTCTCAAATTCCTGGCCTCAAGTGATTCTCCTGCCTGAGTCTCTTAAAGTGTGGGGATACAGGTGTGAGCCATGGTGCCCAGCCTCCTAGCCAGACTTTCCATCCAGATTTTTGTCATTTGTTGGTTAAGAGAAACTGAGGCCTTGAACCTGTATTATGGTGGTTCCTGACTAGTAATTGTTTCACTTACATAATAAAGTAAAATAAAAATCCTCTCTGGAGGAAGACAGCATTATAATCTCTACCTAGGGCTTATGTTATTCCTATACATGTATTTTTACAAATACATGTTCAGCACACAAAGATAACCAGATACACAAGAAAAGACTTCACATGTGAGAACCAACACGAACAACAGACCGTAAAAAACCTGAAGATATTAGAATCAGCCAACACAGATTACAAAACAATTGTTCACTAAGTTCAAAATGACCTTAGTGAATCCGCCAACACAGATTACCAAACAATTATTCACTAAGGGCTGTTGGCTGATTCTAACATCTTCAGTGAAGCAGCCAAGCTTGGAAATTTCATCAGGGAACCAGAAACTATAAAATGATATTATAGGTTTGATAAAGAACCTAATAAAAATTCTAGAACTGAAAAAGAATTCAACTGATGGAAGTAACAAATTAGATACAGGTGTATAGTGAGATTAGTGAACCATAAAATTTGTCAGAAAAAAGCATCAGCTTTGAAAGACCAAGGTAAAAAGTGCAAAACTGAGAGTAAGATATAGAGGATATAGTGAAAACTATCTAATATGCATATATTTAAATGTCCAGAAGTTGATGAGGGAGGTGAGATCTGAGAACATAACAGCTAAGAATTTCCTAAATTGACAAAAGATGTTAGTTGATGGATTCTCAATGAATGAATGAAGGCTCATTGTTCACTGAGTCCATAGCATGATAAAATAGCCAGCTGTCTTTAAAGGAGTGAAAGACTGAGAACTGACTTCTCAGGAGCAGTGGAAGGTAAAAGGTCAGGTAGAATGTATGTAACCCAAAGAAAATAACCACTGGGCATGGTGGCTCATACTTGTAATCCCAGCACTTTGGGAGGCTGAGGTGGGCAGATTGCTTGAACCCAGGAGTTTGAGACCAGCCTGGGAAACACAGGAAGACCTTGTCTCTACAAGAAAAATTTTAAAAATTAGCTCAGTGTAGTGGTGCATACCTGTAGTCCCAGCTACTTGGGAGGCTGAGGTGGGAGGATCACTTGAGCTGGGGAAGTCAAGGCTGCAGTGAGCCAGGCAAGATCTCACTGCACTCCAGCTCTCCAGCCTGGGTGTGGAGCAAGACCCTATCTCAAAAAACAAAACAAAACAAAAACCTCCAACCTAGAATTTAGCTGATAAAAATATCCATCTAGAATTTAAAGCAAAATAAAGATTTTTTTTTTTTTTTTTTTTTTTTTTTTTTAAAAAGGGGTTTCACCATATTGGTCAGGCTGGTCTTGAACTCCTGACCTCAGGTGATCCGCCACCTCAGCCTCCCAAAGTGCTAGGATTACAGGCATGAGCCACTGCGCCCGGCTTTTTTTTCTTTTTTTTTCTTTGAGACGGGGTTTCACTATGTTGACCAGGATGGTCTCAATCTCTTGACCTTGTGATCCGCCCGCCTCCCAAAGTGCTGGGATTACAGGCATGAGCTACCGTGCACGGCCTCAAAATAAAGATCTTTTTAGATAAACAAAAATGGGAGTGTTCTCCCCACTAGCTGACCAACACAAAAGCAAACCCTGAAGCAAGGCAGGCAAACTACAGTCAGGCCCAGTTTGGTGGCTCTGGCCTGTAATTCCAGCACTTTGGGAGGCGGAGGCGGGTGGATCACTCAAGGTTAGGAGTTTGAGACCAGCCTAGCCAACATGGTGAAACCCCATCTTAAAAAAAAAAGGAAGGCCGGGCGCGGTGGCTCAAGCCTGTAATCCCAGCACTTTGGGAGGCCGAGG